ATTAAGATTTGTTTTAAAATTCTTATTTTTTCCAATTTTTTAAAATATTTTATTCATATTAAATTATGTTTCATGCCTAAATATTTGATGTTAAATGAAAGCCCTGTTTCCCCTGAATAAAATGATATATAATAAGTGTAGGTTCACATAATATGAAGAGGCGAATTACGCCTGAACAGACATATAGCACAAATTCCAGTTTTTGTTTACGTTTTGATTTGATAACGTGTACATTTGTCTCAGTACTTAAGGGCTTAAAATGTAAAATATGTAAAATAACTGATATCTGTGTCACATCCACTGGACTGGAGACTAATATATGAGACTAATTGTTAGATCATTTTTTTAAAAATAATTTTTAGAATAATGATTCATTTTATTTCATACAATTGTGCTGATTTGTGCCTTACCCTACACCTCACAGTCACCGGACCACCCCCACCACTGCCACCAGAGACAACAGAGGAAAGGGATTTTCACAATAAGTGGTAATAACAGAACAGATGGGGAATTCTTTACCTATAGAGGTGTTTTTATCAGAATTTTTTTTTTTTTTTAATCAGAAAATAATTTTACACCTTTTTTAAAAATTGTTTTTATTTGTACAGAAATGAGCAAACGAAAAAGCAGCATTACGGATTTCTTCACGAAGGCATCCAATAAAAAAAATCACATGTTTCTGCAAGTTGCTCTACTCAGTCTGAGCCTTTGCTTCAGCAGGTGGTGTCCGCTGCAGAAACTACACCAGTCAGTGAATCGGCTGTAGTGGACATGGTTACTGATGTGGCTGAATATGCCGATGACAGTGATAACATTCTTCCAGAATGTTGGGACCAGAATCAGTGGCTAGAATTAAAAAAAAATACCCTTGGCAGTTTGTAGACAATGGTCTTTTAGGGTGCAAAGTGTGTCACGAGGTTAAACACCTTGGAGTGTCTGTTTCACAGGGTGTATACATTTCTAAAGAATGGAGCACTGGTACAATTACACCATATGGCAAAACAAAAAAAGATATATTGACCTCACTACGTAAAAAAATCCACATACATAAGATTTCAGAAGCACATGTAAAGGCAGGAGATATCCAAGCAGTATCCAGAAAGGAGATTCTGCAATCCAATATTGCTGAACAGCAGAAGCATAAGTTTGCGTCCACTACTATATTTCGCACTGCCTACTTTTGTGCGAAAAAAAATCACAGACTTCAGAGATCTTATCAGCTTGCAGGTTGCAAATGGAGCTGACTTAGGATGTATTCTCCATAGTGAGTACACAGCAGCACAAATAATAGATTGCATTGCTAGTGAAATGAGAAAAAAGCTTTGCAAAGCAATTGTTGAGCAGGCTCCAAAAATTTCTGTTTATATTGATGAGTCTACAACAGTTTCTACCCATTCAGTGTTAATAGTTTATATTCGTGCCTCTGTTAACGGAAAAGACACAGTCACTTTCTTTCTCGATTTGCTTGATTTGCCTAAAGCAGATACACAGTCTATTTAAGCCACTCTTCTAGCTTGTCTTTCTAAATTTGGGTTCAGTAATGACTTTCTTGTCGAGAACTGGATTGGGGCTTGCAGTGTAATGCTTGGAAGAAAGTTGGGTGTTCTGGAACGACTCAGTCAAAAATATACAAAGATTGTGAAATGGCAATGCTTGTGTCATAGGCTTGAATTGTGCATTTCAGATACAATTGATTCTATTCCTGGTCTTCATCATGTAACATCATTTTTGGTGAAGTTGTATGCTGTGTATCATCAGTCACCAAAAAATCTGGCAGAGCTCTCAGAATGTGCAAAAGAATTAGAAGTACAATTTCTTAAAATTGGAAAAAAAAAAAAATCAGTTAGATGGGTTGCCTCAAGCCATAGAGCTATACAAGCAGTTTGGGAGTCATATCCTGCCCTACACAGTCATTTCTTGAAAGCAAGCTTAAGCTCAGCTCATAACAATAAGCAGAAATCTGTATTTTGTGGCCTTAACAAGGTCTTGACATCAGTAGATTTGTTAAACCTAGCAGGGGTTGCGGATGCTGTTCAGGAAATGGGACTGTAATCTAAAGCTCTGCAAAGAGATGACATCACACTTCCACGAGCTTATCAGCTGATTAATCGTTCAGTTTGTGCCGTTGAAAAAATGAAAAACATGCCTGGCAAACATCTGAAAGAAGTCATGGAATTGCTGGAGAAAGGGAATTTCAAAGGTGTGACCATCAATCCAGAGAGTACAAAAGGCCAAGTGAGGATAAATCTCCCTCAATTTTATCAAAGTTTGTAGATAATTTACGCTCCAGACTCTTTGCTTTAGCTGCGAGCAACAGACCTGCAGCTTCATCACAGTCAGGTGAATTTTAAACTCTTGTCTCTGAAATTGAAATCCTGAATTCACAACGCTGGCCAATCAATGTGGACAGTCCATGGTTTGAAAGTTAAGTGAAGCTGGAGCAGCTGTGCAAAAGATTCCGTCTCAGCTATGCATCCATCTGTGAAGGTTTCAGAGACTACATTGATAATGGTGGTGCAGAGATTCCTGAAAATCTAAAACCAGTGGTGACAGCAGTTAACAGTCTTCCAGTGAACTCCGGTGATTGTGAAAGGGGCTTCAGTACAATAAATTTGGTGATTTCACCCATTTGGAGTGGACTTGGCATTGAACGCCGGTCTTCTCTTATGTTTATTAGTCTCATTGGGCCTCCTGTGCATTTAAGGGATCCTTTACCATACGTCACAAAATGGCTGACCACACATCGCAGTGCAGATGATACTAAATCTCGAAAAGTTGATAATCTTGCACGGCAAGGGCAACGTTATTCCAGTTTGTGGGATATCTTCTAATGGGCTGTGTGTTTAGTTTTTATACGCTATTTGTTTTAGAAATTCCCTGCGAGGGAAAGATCACCCATTGTGGTGATTATTCTGTTAGTATGACTAACAAGTTAACTCCCTCACAAACAACACCATTCACTTTATCACAGTTGTTAGAACTGTTCTAAATTTATTTGTTTATTGCATAGCTAATTTAATTTGTTTCAACTGTTCTATATATATTTGTTTATTGCATGTGAATTTTGCAGTTGTTTGTGTAAACTGGCACTTTACAATAAATGTTGCACTGAATTTTCTGCGAAATATATTTTTTTTTTGGGAGGTGGCAGTGGATCTTGGGTGAGTTCCCACATGTTTTTTTCCCAGGACTTAACCCCTGAGGATGACCAAAATTTATCTAAACAGACTTAAATTATAATCTCAAATTTTATAAATATTTAAAAGGGGATATCTATGATCTCAAATTTTAATAAATATGTTGAAAGAATATCTATTAATTAAGGTCATAAAAAAGTGGAGCATAGAAACAAAAAGGGGAAAGAGACTGAAACCATAAAAGCACTAAGGCTAGTATAGTAATAAAAATAAATAAAAAAATACGAAACAAATGGTCAAATGTGGATTAATAAAATAGAAAGCTAAATTAAAAAATGACACCTCGAAATCGGCATTTAATCCGTTCAGGATTAAAGTATTTAATCTAAAAATCCATTCCATTTCTCGCTTACTCAGTTTAGTGTTAAAATCCCCTCCTCTCCAATCTTTTTCTACTTGATTAATACTTAGGAATACAGAGCCTTTAAACTCGCTATTATGAAATTCTTTATAGTGAAGGGAGACACTGTGTTTCTCAAAACCTTTTGTAATATTACGGCCATGATCCTCTATTCTTATATGTAGGGCTCGGGTGGTTTTTCCTATATAATATAAGCCACATGGACATTGCATAAGATATATTACATTTTTAGAATAGCACATTATAAATTCTTTGATGGGGTATTCTTTCCCATCTCTAGTTTTAAAATGTTTTAGATGTCTTTTTATTTTATTTTCTGTTCTTTTGCATGCCAAACATTGGCCACAGCCAAAAAAACCTGTAACGGACCCTCCGTCAATCAATGCTCCTAGTGCTTACCAAGGACCATCAGCACAGCACCAGACACCCATGAACCGCTGCAGCTTGGCTGGGAACTCACCGTCCTCTACCTACCCTAGACCTACGACAAGGCTCCAGGTTCCAGTGGGTGAACCTCTCCTCCAAGAGAGCGTAGCAGGAACAAGCTCTTAAAAGAGCTTAGTGATTATAGACCAGGGGAATATACAGAGTATAGCAATCCCCCAGTGTAGATGAAGCCTTTTCCCCCACACATGAGACAAGGCTCTCTGTTGAGGGTAAAACAGGAACTCGGCAGATCTGAGGGTTTATTGTCTTTTATACAGTTTTTCCCACAAGGTTACCACCCAGGTGGTTTTACATTCAGTCACTCCCATACAGTGTATGCAATCCCTCCCCTCTGCCTGTGATATAATTAACGAAGACAATGGACTAACTCAATCAGGGCCGTCTATAATATGAATAGGACCCCGGGCAAAGCCTTTTCTTGGGCCTCCTGGGCCCTGTCACTGCACCCTCCCACCCCATTACGCCCAACCCGCAATCACACTGACAGACATACTGACACATACACACACAGACAGACACATTAAAACATTTGCAGATACATACTGACACACACATACACTGACACAAAAATATATACTGGCAAACATTGACACACATTCAGACATACTGATACACACAGACACATACATACTCACAGACACATACACTGACAGATATATTGGCACAGACACACACAGACACATACACTGACAGGCGTATTGACATACACAGACATACTGACATACACACACACACTGGAACACAGTGAGACATACTGACATACACACACAGACATACTGACATACAAACACACAGACATACACACAGTATGTCTGTGTGTGTTAGTATGTCTGTGTGGTGTGTTAGTATGTCTGTGTGTGTCAGCATGTCTGTGTGTGTTAGTATGTCTGTGTGTGTATGTCAGTATGTTTGTGTGTGTACATGTCTGTGTGTGTGTATGTCAGTATGTGTGTGTGTGTGTATGTCAGTGTGTGTGTATGTCTGTATGTCTGTGTGTATGTCAGTGTGTCTGTGTGTGTATGTCAGTATGTCTGTCATAGACACACATAGACATACTGACATACATACACAAACAGACATACTGACACAGACATACTAACACACACACATACTGACATACATTTAGCCACCCTCCAGGTTCTTACCTTTTTATGGAGGGTGGTTTCCCTGGGGTCCAGTGGCAGGCTGAGGCAGATGGGAGTTCTTCTCTGAAACTCCCCTCCTCTCTGCCTTCCTCCTCCCGCGCGGCTATCTCCGGTGGGAGGAAGTGACGCACGGCACTCACTTCCTCCCAGCCGGAACAGGAAGGGGCCCAGTCGCGCTGTTTAAGCGTCACAGTGCCCGACCGGGACCCTTCTGCCACATGCCCACAGGGTGGCCCTTAGTGCATGGGCCACCCGGGGGCCTCCTTAGTTGGCGGGCCGGTACGGCTGCACCGCCGGCCGCCGGGTACACGGGGGCTGCTGAAATCGCGGGGCCCATGGGGCAGCTGCCCTGGGGCCCCCCCAGGAGCAACTGGGCCCGGGGCAGCTGCCCCGTTTGCACCGCGCTAAAGACGGCCCTGAACTCAATTAACTCTAAGCAGAAAAAAACCCATTCATTTTTACAAACCCCAAAAAGTACACCAAAATACAACATATCCAAAAATCACCCAGACCAGTTCAGGGGTTCAGGAATTTTTTGGAAGTCTTATTTTTGCCCCACCGTGCACATGGTCCTATGCCCAAAACAGTTCCATACATTCGACAACAAAACACTGCTGGACAATTTAAGATGGCTGCTGCCACATGTTTGAAAGGGGCATTGTGCTTAGTCCCAATATGCACAAATAGTGTTTTTAAAAGGCAATACACCCCAGGGGCCATAGTCCCAGGGCAAGAGGCTGGCAAGCAGGCCTCTCCAAAACCCAGTGGCGAGGTTACTTTCGCCACAAACCCTTTCTCTGAATTTAAAAAGGTAGTTTTGGAATTTTTCCTTTCTTTAATAAAACTTGACGTCAGGGAGGTATGGAGATTGTTTACTCCTCTGTGAATGAATCAGGTTTTTTCAGGAAGCACGGTTTTGGCAACAAGGTCTTGTAATAAGACCGGCCAGAATTTTTAGACTTTTCCTCTTACTTTGTGGTTGTCTGTACTAAAATTACATATGAATGGTATTTTATTCATTTTGTTTTCTTTTTTACCTTTTGTTTTAAGATTTTTTTTTCTATTTCTCTGATTTCTATTCCAGATTTTTCTAGTCTTGATTCTTTGTAGCCTTTGTCTAGAAAATCTTGTATGATTTTATATGATTGTACTTCAAATGTCTCAAGGTCTGTATAATTGCGCCTAATTCTCAAAAATTGTCCTCTTGGGGCATTTTCAAGCCAGGGTGAGAAGTGGCAGCTTTCTCTTCCTATAAATCTATTGGCTTCCACGGTCTTAAAGTGATTTTTAGTTTTAATTTTGTTTTCCTCTATATAAATGTGTAGATCTAGAAAGATTTCTTCTTGTGGGCTCCAGTTGCTAGTTAGTTTAAAACCCCAAATGTTGGTAATTAGGTAATTTAAAAAATTTATCAAATCCTCTTCCCCCCTTCCCATATGAAAAAAATATTGTCAATGTAACGGCCATAGATGAAAATGCTCTCCCAATGTACTATAAATAAGTTGGCATAGCTGTGGGCGAACTTAATCCCCATGGTCGTCACAATAATTTGTTAAAAAAATTCTTCTCCATACCAAAAAAAGTTATTTTTTAAAATAAGATCTATCCATTCCAAGATTTCAGTGAATGTCATGTCTGAAAAATTATTTAAAAACTATTCCATTTTAGTGAGTGTCTTGTCTGAAAAATTATTTTCAAAATATTCGACTGCTTTACATCCATATGTGTGGGGAATGTTACTGTATAAAGCGACTGCTTTATCACCAAACTGATATCTTATAATGTGAGAATATGGAGTAATTACACACGAGAAGCCTTTGATGAACCTGACTACGTGACTAAAAAACAATGGTTTAATACTTTAGGAAAAAGACCTTTATTAAAAAATCCTTGGAAAATTTGATTCATTTCATTGCTCGGATTGATATTCAAGTGTCCTGATCCATTAAAGTTCTCTCTGCTTCCTTATTATAAAAATCTTTCGACATTAAAACTATCCCCTCCCCTTTGTCAGCCGGTTTTATGACTAAATCTAGATCTGTTTTAAGATCTTTTAGAGCTTTTCTTTCAAATATTGAAAGGTTCTGATTAAACTTTTTTGACTTCCGTCATGACCATTGTTTCAAAGGTAGTCATTTTTTTCTGAGATGATATGTTTAGGATAAAATTTTGATTTTTCTCTTAACTTGGTATATTGTGAATCTTCTTCACTATCTGTAGGTTGTTCCGTTGGATTTTTTAAAAAGAACCTTTTCAAGCATAAATTTATTTTAAACCTATTTAAGTCCACATAGAAGTCAAATTGATTAAGGGGTTTACATGGCGCAAATTTAAGTCCCTTTATTAATACTTTTTTTATGGTCATCTGTGAGATTTTTATTACATAGTTACATAGCTGAAAAGAGACTTGTGTCCATCAAGTTCAGCCTTCCTCACATATGTTTTTGCTGTTGATCCAAAAGAAGGCAAAAAACATAGTCTGAAGCACTTCCAATTTTGCCACAAACTAGGAACAAATTCCTTCTTGACCCAAAATAGCTGTCAGATGTCTCCTTGGATCAAGCAGCTATTACCCCACTAATTAGAAATTATATCCCTGTATGTTATGTTTTTGTAAGTATTTATCCAATTGCAGTTTAAACATCTGTAATGACTCTGACAAAACCACCTCTTCAGGCAGAGAATTCCATATCCTTATTGCTCTTACTGTAAAAAAACCTTTTCTTTGCCTATTAAATTATCAATTCCTTTCATGTGGATTAGTTCCTCTGTGTCCTTTCTCACCTTTCCTTTTTTGCATATGTTTTCCTCCTCTTGTGCCTCTTTGTTTGAGAATACCTTCTTCTCTTGAATGGTGTCATGGTATTTGGATTCTCTTCTTTCTTGTGTCTGTATTTTCCCTTGCTTTTCCAAAAATCCTGGTCTTCATATTCATCTAATACCTGGAAGCGGTTTATGATTTCAATTGGTTCTTCCCTTCTATATAGGGCATGTCTGTTATAGGGTGTTCTTTCTTCTCCATTTCTATAGTGTGTCCTTCTTTCTTGTCTTTTATTTCTGTGTATTGGCCTTCTTTCTTGTTTTTCTCTCTCTTCTCCTCTCATATTGACCCCTATCTTCTTGATAATTGTCTTTATATTGTGGGTATAGGTATTTAGGTTTAGGATTATCCCAAATCTTATATGGGCGGTAACTCTGATATTCTCTATTCCTATAATGCTGATTAGTGAATCTATTTTCTTTATATCTCATGTAATGTTTCTCTCCTGGGGTCTCTCTATTTATAGTGGAGGTTTTCCTATAGTCTGGGGGTTTAGAGATATCTTTTCTGTCTTCCATGTTTCTATCCTGATTATTATATTTTGAGAACGTTCTTACTTGTTTCAATTTACAATCTCTTACATCTCTACGATATTTTTTTCATTTCTATCACTTCCCTTTCTAGTTTCTCTAAATTATCTTTTATATTTAGCGTAGTGTCATCAAATTCTTCTTGGTTAAGTGAGTTAAGGATCTCATTTTGGCATTTATTTCTATATCCAGTTCTTTTAAATGTTCTTTTCGTCTTCTAATTATTAAATTCATTGTATTTATGGAGAAACCTTCTAACATGAGGTTCCACTCATCCATGAAAGCTGTTACATCTTTATCAAACGTGGGAGTTTTAAAATATTTTAGTCCCCTAGGAGTGATCCCTTCTTTTAAATATTTTTCTAGGATAGCTATCTCCCATTTTATCTTTAATTTTCTATGTATTAGTTTTTCAGTTGTTCACTATTATAGTCTTGTCCTTTTCTCTTTCTACCTACTGGTTCATCTGTCCAGTTAGCTAGTTCAGTTTCCATGTCAATGTAGGTGTTACTCCTTTTATCAACTAGTGACATCTTATATGATCCCTAAAGCAGCTGAGTACACTAGTATAAAGATAAGGAAATACTCGAAAAATAGAATACAAAAAGAAGTACCAGCGCTAATATATTGGATAAAAGTTCTTAGTACCACAGTGTATAAATAAATGGTAAACCAGCAGATTTATCACCAAACTGATATCTTATAATCTGAGAATATGGAGTAATTACACACGAGAAGCCTTTGATGAACCTGCGATAATAATTTGCAAATCCAATAAAGCAGTGTACAGCTTTAAGATCCTTGGGTACTGGCCATTGTAATATGGCTTCCAGTTTGCATGGGACCATCTTGAAACAAGAGGCGGATATTACATATACTAGAAAGTGTAACTCTGATTGGTCAAACAGGCATTTCTCCAGCTTACAGTATAAGCCATTCTTCAACAGGTATATAGGCACAAAAGGAAATGAGATTCGGCTGTACATAATCTAAAACAGGAACAAAAAAGAACACATAGTGTGATACAGTAAAACAAATGTTAGTGTGCTAAGATGGTAATGCACTCACAAGATCAAAATGAATAATGCGCCAAAAGTGTGCCTGCCCCGGTAAACTTGGGCGGCTGAACGCCTCCACTCTCCACTGGAAATCCAAGCGGACCAAAATAGGAATGAGACTCCGATGGGTTTGGATAAAATAATTATGCAAATTTATTGTAAATAAAAGGCCATATACATTAGCCACATAAATAAAATAGAGGAAAGGTCCTACACGTTTCGTTCCTATAAACAGGAACTTCCTCAGGGACCAAAAACAAATAATATAATAAAAACAATCAATACAAAAAATGCATACAATATTCCCCCCACCCCCCGAGTCTCTATAACTTCATTGGTGGATCCAGTGGGAGTTACCGATGATTCAATGATCCTATTCAGGTGTAGAATGTCCAATGATCCTGTGCAGCTGTGGAGTAGATGTTTCGGCGGTCTTTCTTGGCGCAAAACGATGAAACCGTAAACCGGAAATAAAGGTCCGATATTATTTCTGCGTTCCATTGACATATACGTTCCAACTGAATCA